TAGCCAGTATTTTTTGATCAAAGTCTCAGCAATGCTCCTTGTTTCGATTAAATGTACTAATTTAGTAAACAATAATCATCAATCGTGGTTAGGTTAGCCAGTATTCTTTGATCAAAGACTAAGGAATGCTCCTTGTTTCGATTAAATAAATGTACTAATTAGTGAACCATAAACATCAATTGCGGTTAGGTACGCCAGTGTTTTTTGATGAAAGGGGTCTGCAGCGCTTCTCGCGTCGACCAAATGTACTAATCTAGTGAACAATAAACATCAATTATGGTTAGGTTAGCCAGTATTCTTTGATCAATGTAAAAGCAGCGCTTCTCGCGTCGACCAAATGTATTAATTTAGTAAACAATAAACGTCAATCGTGGTTAGGTTAGCCAGTATTCTTTGATCAAAGTCTCAGCAATGCTCCTTGTTTCGATTAAATGAACTAAACAATGAACATCAATCACGGTTAGGTTAGCCAGTATTATTTGATCAAAGTATCAGAGACTCTTGTGTCGATTAAATATACTAATCACATTCAGGTTCTTAGTATTCTAATTTTCTTTTATTTGAACATGAATAGTTTAGTCTTTTTTCCACAGCTCTATTACAATTAGTGACTACAAAGGATAAATCAAATCACTGTATACACTTAAAAGTAATATTGGTTTATTTCTTTTAAAAAAATTGTAAATTAAAATAGATACAAGTAATCTATACATACAAATAATAGCCTAAACATTAATATTGATTTGTACAATTCACAAAATATACAAAGGAAAACTACAGTTAACCTTAATGTTGTAAAATAAGTTAAAAAATAATACAAATGATTTAGGAAAATGTTCAATACTTTGGTAGAGAACATATGGCATTGTGGGATGGTATTGCAAGATACCCTGCCAAAGATATTCCAGCAGCGTCTCCCAATGACGTGATGCTCATTGAAAACTCCCTCTTCTCTAGGGATACCTTGAAAAAAAATTATATTTATATTAATTTTTTAATTCAATTTATTTGATTTGATTTATTTGATTTTTATTTGATTGTACTCAATATTCTTCCATCACCCTACACAGCACCTCTCACGAGGCAAAAAACTAACTGTGTTCCCCAATATAGTATAAATAATTATATGATAAGTTTAGAAAAGCTTAATGTACCTCATGAGTGATACGATTGAATGTATTCACGTAAGCGGCTCCTCCAAGAAATCCTTCATACAAAATTAAAACAAGTGTGATGTAAATGTTAGGCACGTAACTGTATATCGCATCAGTTGTAAATATGATTACATTGATACCCTGTAAACACGCAATTTTTTTAACGTTTTTAAAAACAGAAAGATGTCGTTGAAGTACCTGGAGCACTGCAAGAAGCCAGATGTTTCGAATCTCAATCAATTTGATGGATGACCTTGAGATGAAAACTCCAATTTGGTAGGCCAATTGGTAAATAACGTATTGATCTCTTTCAGCAATGATGAACCCGTTAAACTGAATGAGCTCAAACTAAAACCAAATTCGACATTGTTTTAAATGCAATATTACAAAAATAATTACAATAAATGGTAAAATAAAACGTAAACAATAGGATAAACAAAATTTTCAAACAATCCGTCAATCACTAAGGAGAAAAAATTGTTATCAAAATAGAAATTCTCTGCAGAACGCTATTATAAATTGATCGTACCAAATAACCGACCACAACACTTATTATTCCCTGTTTTTTTCCATTGGAATGCACATAGTACATATTTCTTCATTCAGTTTTGTCCTCCTCTGCACCATTCTTCAATAAGCGCGAAGTGTTCTTGGATGTTAGAGGTAGGTTGTATAGGATTTGAATTAGAGGACAAAATGGCAGTATCATCAATTTTGGTGGTTTTAGTGTGTGTAGGTCAACAGTACAGATGATATACAGCATGGGACCAAAATGCTCCTTTATTCGGCTTATATCGGTCTGATTTCCGAGAACTCGTTGCTACACCTAACTCTGAAGCAGAGGTCGGTTAGATATGATTTTAGGATAAGGTAATAAGGAGTGTAGGAAGCGTTTGAGTTTATAAAACCTGGGTGCCAGACCCTATCAAAAGTTTGTGCTACATCCAGGAACACACCCAAGCAATAATCTTGGTTTTCTCTTGCAGAGGAGTATCGACAAATCTGAAATCTTGTTGGATCATGGAATGATGACAGAAGCCGAATCCGTGAGAGGGAATGACTTGACTTTATGAGTATGGAGTCTTTAGAGGATTTTGCTATTGCAGGAAGAAAGCTGATAAACCTGTCGTTGGGAGGTTTGTGAGCTTTAGGAATGAGAATAACAACTGGATATTTCCAAGGATAAATAAATTTTAAAAAAAGAAATAGGATTTTTTATTGTTTCAGAGTAATAAAAGTAGATATATGTTTCTTCTTGTTAGCGTATATTATTTGATTTTAGCATTGCTTTCTAAATTTTTATTTACCAATTTTTTCATCCTGAGTACAAAAGTACGTTTCCTTCTTCTCAAAGCATTACATTACATGAGTAAATTTTGATCAAAAAACTTAAAATGTTAAAGATTTTTTTATCTCTTATAAGAGAGTAAGTGGTCTGTAAGATGGTGGAGGTAATTAGATTGTGACCAGAGGATTTGTGAATGTGTTTCCTAACATCAGATGATGATGAGATGAAAGAGATAAAGAAAGTAAGTTAAGGTGTTTTTAATATGATTTTGATAATACAAATCTCAACGTGAGTGAAATCCAAAGAATCCTCATGATGACTAAATATACTACACTAATCTAGTAAACAATAGTCATCCATCATGGTTAGGTTAGCCAGTATTCTTTGACCAATGAGTATATCAACAATCATGGTTTGGTTAGTCAGTATTCTTCTCTTACCTCTCTTATAAGAGAGGATAGTGAGTGGTCCATAAAATGGTGGAGGTAATTAGATCATGACCAGTGGATTTGTGAATGAGGTACATAACATCAGGATTAAAAGGTTTGAGAAGAAGAGGAAGTAGGGTACTAAGGTTATGCATTACCTAATGAGTGTGAGGAGTAAATGTGAAATGCAAATAGGTATAAGTTATCTTTGTCGCTCCTGAACTAGGATCCATTAATTAGGTAAAGGAATGGGGGAATCAACTGAGTGATATTTTATTTATTTTTTTGTAGTGAACCAAAGGGAGATGAGTTCTGGAAAACATTGAGGTTTTGAGACAAGAATATAAGGAAACGAAAAGACCTGGTCAAAGAAGAGGTGGCCCTCCAGCCTGATCGGAATCACTAAAAGCTGAAATAAATAATAAGAAAAAATACTCAACCACTGCAAAGCATCAGGTATGAGGCAAGCTAAAATAATAAATCTCTCAAAAAGGAAGGCTAAGGAACTCCTCTGGTCAGCAGACGAGATTTGAGGGAAATTAACAACATGAAGAGGTAAAGAGGTAACATTTTAACTTTCCAGAACCCTCTGAGGTTCAGTGATGAACCAAATATTGTTAAACCTGAGCACCAATAATAAAAAAATCAATATCCATTTGACCATCTCTTAGAACAATAAATATTAATAACCTTTATAAATATCAATACAAAAATAATTAGAGTTGATATACAAAAGATGTATTAACTTAAGTAACTTAAGACCCTTTGACTTTGACATCCTTACACGTAACTATAACAGCATAACCTTTAATATATACTCAGTATGATTTTTTTTTTTTTAATAAATACTTTCTTATTCGGGAACTCTTCCACCGGTTTTAAATTTCTTTAAAAAGCTTTCAGACCAACGCTACACCCATCCTCAGTCTTTTGCCCAATGTGGGGGATACTAACCTTACTGGAGGGGGCCGAGTATTGAAAAGGTTTCTAAATAAAGTAAAAACTGATGGAAGAGTTCATGAAAAAATGGTAAATGCAAATGCATTATAAAATGTCAAAGTTGATTGTACGTAAACTTAAGGACTTGACTAACTAAAAAACATATTTTCAATTGCAAGTTCTCATTTTTCTCTAGGTCACCTAACAGTTACAATGCATACCATTACAACTAAGTCTAAATAAAATGTGGCAAAACAACTGTTTAAAAAAAAATGAAATAAATGAAGAGAAATATTCAGAAACACTTACAACATTAATCCCCTCCTGGTTCAGTAATGTTGTGAACCAACTGGAAGAAAACACACTTTGTATATAATATAAAATTTACTTTGTAGCAAATATCAAAAAGTTAGTTTTTTTTAATGTTGCTTTTAATGTTATTTCTTCTGTATAAATGTAATTAAATTGTGTTATTGTTCTATACCAAGAGAAACACAGGTCCAAACTTTTTTTTTGAAAATAATGAATCATTTTTGAACTGTGAGAAAGAAAATATACACTCCCCTGTCAAAAAAAAAAGTATTGCAACACCTAGAAAATCTCAATAATATTTTAGTTTTGACCTTTTAACCTATGTTTTGCTTATATTTATATTATTTTTTCCTTGAGAGGTATTGAAGGTTAATCGTTATTTATTATTGTTAATTATTGCTAAATGGATTTTCATAGTCTAAGATTTTTACAGGGACCGTAGTAGCCAAATGGTTAGCGTAAAAGGCTCGGCTTGTAGACGTCACAGTCATGGGTTCAATTCCCACTGTCACCCCAGGAATTTTCTATCCCACTCCACTTCCCCCATATGAATCAATGAGTACAAATACTGTTCTTTGGATAATATGTAAATCATAAGGCCAGGTAAAAAAAGAACTTTTTGAGAATTTTGACATGACCAGCGTTAGTTGGTTTCTTTTAAACTGCGATGAATTCTCATTTATTGAGTTGCTACCATATTTTTCACATAATAGTTTGTGTGCTAACCCTATTCATTGGAATTTTTGACTGGTAAGGTACCATAAGATCATTTTAGGATTTAGCCTTCAAGTTCTATCAGCATTTTTGGTGTATTGTGCTTATAATGCTAAGTCAGGACCTTAACCCATTTAACACGGAACTTCAAAATAAAAGTTCAGTCATGGGACCTCCTTACAACCCTTGAAATGCTGAACATAACCAAGGATTTTCTACAAAAAGGATGGAACCATCAAGGTTAAAGCCTTCATTATAAGGAATATATCCTCCATCTGCTTATCCCATACATACAACCAACATACCTATGTATTTAACCTAAATTTACCATAATTTATAATTACAATCTGATAATCAGTACAAAATATTGAAATAATAACAAATAATGTGTGGTGATTAGTGACTGTTAATCGATATTTATTTAGAAATGGTGATATGCGGTCTGGTGTGATGTAGGTTTCAGAAAAACATTTTCTTTATCGTGCCAACGTTTCGACCTTTATTGAGATCATCTTCACACATCACTAATCACCACACATTTCTACACGAGAAGAACGAAGAACATGGGACTCTATGAACAAATTGCAACTACATATGGACACGAAGCTAAAAGTTTACTGTAGGACATCACCAACAATGAGAAGAAACTCGCATCGGCTATCAATCAGAGAACTTTTTTGCTGAAATGCAGACAACACAAGGTATTTCCTGAAGATGATCTCAATAAAGATCGAAACGTTGGCACGATAAAGAAAATGTTTTTCTGAAACTTACATCACACCAGACCGCATCTCACCATTTCTAAATAAATAACAAATAATGATGATGACAAGAAGAAGCTGGGTTTTGTATTCCACAAGTACTGCAGACTTCTGGTGTATTGCACTTTTACTAGATTTTTAGTTCAGCTTAATTGATTCAATCCTTACTTTCATTTTAATATTTATAGACTCAAATCCTTCCCTTCTAATACATACTACCTCATTCTAAAATCTATTTTATGTGATTGTTTTCCCATTCTATCCTCATCGGAGCATACTAGGAATACTTTTCAGCATATACACAGCAGATTTTCCTTCAACTTATTAAACATATTATTTATTTATTTTTTTGATGGGGAGTGTATTTAAATAATAAACAAAAGACATGTTTTTATTTTTTTAAGGCCAATTTTAAAATAACTGTACAATTTAAACTGTGAAATATTTTAATCTTGTATAATGCCAGGATTGTTAGAATTTTACTTTATTTTGTATCCTCAAGTTGAAAACAAACAGCAAAATCACACCATTATTTTAACAACAGAACAAGCAACACATTTTTTACCATTTCTTATAAATAGGTGCATAATATAGAAAGAAATACGAATGCTAACTATTAATAATAAATGACTATAAGATATCAAAAGTTGTTTGTGCTTCAGCTTTCAACAGATGTCCCAAAATAAAAATAAAAAAATGACAAAACTCGGAAAATTTAAGCAATGAACACAAATTAATCAGAAAAGTTTTCGCATATTTCACCAAAAGAAATGACATAATGTACAACCTACATAATAAAAAATAATAATAATTCGATTTGTTATTAAATGTTTCTAATAGATCTAGCAATCTTTGAGTTATACCGTAACGAGTACTAGGGTTGCTATTTGTCGACTGAAGACAAGAAAAGGACTTCAGTTGACTTGATTCTACCTTGTTAAGTTTTCCGCTTGTTGTCCGGCTGGTTCTTCTGACTTGATTATTAGATTCTTGGGACTTGATCATATCCAAAAAATTAAAAGCCAAGAGGTCTTTCCTTTTCAAAGAAATTAAATAGAGAAAATCTAACCACAGAATATTTTATGTTTTTAAAGAATAAACGATACCTGTTTGTATGAGTTTCATTTTTGTTTAATACCATTCGATATATATTTTTTTACTTGTAAGAGCATAAGTAAAATCTCAGTCTAAACAAATTGACTTTTCAAAAAAACAAACAAAAAAAAAACAATTGAAATTGGCCAAAACAAACAGTTAAGTTGTATTAAACTTTAATTTAAAAAAGGCTTAAAATGACAAAGACTTAAAGAAAATATGAACTAAAAAGATAAGTAAAATTGTACATACCATTCCTTGGTTAATGAAGTACTCAAATAAATAAACAAGTCCGAAAGGAATCATGTACTTGAAAAGAGGTGGTATCGATTTCAAGTTTATCATAAAATGCTGAAGTACGGACATTTCTTGCAAACTGCTTGAGGAAGAAGGCAAGCCGAACGTTTCTTGAGATTGACCGTCCGCGACTTGCTCCTTAATATAGACAGGTTTGTCTAGAAGAACCCAAAACCTAAAATGCATTTTTAGAGTGCAATCTTTGTAAAAAAAAAAAAAAAAATTACTTACGAAAATCCCATAAGACATGGTACAATTAGAAATATGTACAAGGGTTTGGCTCGGTTTTCCTCTGAAAACAGAATTGTCAACAACATGTATGTCAAAGAGCCAAAAAAGCCTGCACCACCTGTGCCAGATGACCAATTTGATATGACATCTCTATAAATTAATTTGGTTTAAACTTGTTGAATTTAGGAAAATAAATCTCAATAAACAGTATTTTTCATGTCATTATTATTATTTTTTATGTGCATAAATATTACTTACGTGCTTTTGTAAAGTCCCATGTAGGATAGCAAAGTCGCTTCGCCCAGTCCTGATGATAAAGCTATGTTGACTACGCCGAATATAGCCAGCCAAATTTTCGTTGCTTCTGCCACTAGGACAAATCCAGATGCTGACAAAAGTAAAATTAAAACCATCCTGTAACTGTACAAAAATAAAATAAAAAAAATTATCACTCAAAAAATAACAACACTGAAAACTTATTGTTTTATGTACAGTAAATATAAATAAATGATTCTATTTTCCCTCTATCTTTAACATAAATCACACCTATTGTCTAAAATCTGGCCAGACAGACCAAAATAGTCAGAAACAACCAAAATACAAATTTCTAACATGTTTGATCCAATGAGCCTTAAATATGGCTAGTACTTATTGGCGATGAAGTTGGACTTTTGGGGCTACATCATGTAGTTCAAACAAAAAAATAAAAAATAAAGCAATTAATCAAGGATTTAATCACTTTGTCTCCTTCAGTGTTACTGTGGTTGATTATTTTTTAAATATAATTTTTATATAAATAAGGCAGCCCTCCTGTCTGTCTGTCTGTCTGTCTGTCAGTCTCTCTCTCTCTCGTTCACTCACTCATTTACTTTCTCCCTCTTACTCTTTCTCTCACTCATTCACTCACTTCATCCCCCCTCTCTCTCATTGTCTCTTCTTCACTCACTCACTTGCTCTCTCTTTCTCTCTGTCACTTACTCACTCTTTCTATATTCTCTCTCTCTCTTTTTTTCTCTCTTTCTCTCACTTAATTACTTTCTCCCTCTTACTCACTTAATTTCTCTCTCCCCCCTCTATCGCTCACTCGCTCACTTTCTCTCTCATTCACTCACTACTTTCCCTCTCTCTCACTCACTCATTTACTCTCTCCCTCTTACTGTTTCTCTCACTCATTTACTCACTTTGTCCCCCTCTCTCTCACTCACTTGCTCTCTCTTTCTCTCTGTCACTTACTCTTTCTATATTTTCTTTCTCTCCCTCTCTCTCACTCACTTACTTACTTTCTCCCTCTTACTCACTTACTCTCTCTCCCCTCTCTCTCACTTACTTACTTTCTCCCTCTTATTCACTTACTCTCTCTCCCCTCTCTCTCGCTCACTCACTCATTTACTTTCTCCCTCTTACTCTTTCTCTCACTCATTTACTCACTTCGTCTCCCCTCTCTCTCACTCACTTTCTCTTTATCTCACTCTCTCTTCTTCACTCACTCTCTTGCTCTCTATCACTTCCTCCCTCTTTCTATATTTTCTCTCTCTATCACTCACTTACTTTCTTCCTTTTACTTACTTACTCTCTCTCTCCCTCTCTCTCTCTCTCTCTCTCTCTCTCTCTCACTCTCACTCTCACTCTCTCTCCCCTCCTCAATAGAAGCCAGAGTTGGTTTAGCCACTTCAATAAGGAAATTTTACAGCAAAGTATGAACATAATCATATTTCCAAAATAGACATTTATAGGTCACACAGTTGAGAAGGTTGGAATCTTTGACTTGACCACTTGTAATCTTTTCTGTAAGAGTTGTCCCCATAATCTATCAAATTGCCTTGTTCAGGTAGGTTTTTGACAAACACTTTAAAAGGAGTTAATTTGTTTAGCATAAGAGTTTTTTAAAATTGTTCCCTTTCATCTTCCCATTGAAATTCTTTTTTCTTTTTTTTATGTGTAACTATGCAAAAACTCAACTCAACGACAGTTTGGATATTGATTTAATATACAAAAATGTCTATTGTGCTTAATTAAAATGAAAAGTGGAATGTAGAAAGTCAACAATTTAAATAACATCAGAAATTAATCTCAAGGACAAAAAATATCCAATTAATTTTAACTTAATTACCCGCAAAGAAACTGTGAAAATAGACCAGAAAAATAAGATCGATAAATAAAAACGAGAAGAAATTTTCAATGGGAGGCTTTTTTCCTCAAAATGATTCGATTCATTGATAATTTGAAACTAATTTCCGACCTGTTTATCATTGAAAACAAGAACTATCTACTCTTGATAAAATATAACGCTGACGATTTGATGATAACATTCATGTATGGAAAACCACTGATATGACGCTTTAATATTATCTGCAAACGTTACAAAGGAGGAGATTAAAAAGACTGATTAGCCAAATCCTAAAAGATAAAATGATATAATTAAGGATTTCTCTCGTGGTCTCGCTTAGGCTCATTCACTCACTACTTTCCCTCTCTCTCACTCCCTCATTTACTCTCTCCCTCTTACTCTTTCTCTCACTCATTTACTCACTTCATCCCCCCTCACTCTTTCTCACTCACTTTCTCTCTATCTCACTCCCCCTCTCCCTCTAAGTATTTATATGAAAAATTAACATTTCTATCTGATGTACATTCTATTAACATTAGATATAAATAAAAGTGAACACTTACAAATTTCAAAACATAAAACTTTGACTTTTAATAATTCTTTTTCTGTAAAAAGTGCTAGAGTTTATACACTAAATAACCAAAGAAATAAAAAATGATAGGTCTTAAAAAAATTGAAATTAAAATTAAGAGTAAATGTAATAAAGAAGTATGATTAGATGTTTAAACATACAAAGTTTATACTAAATTAGATTATAAAACCCTTTTGTTAAATGATGATATTATTTTTGTACTGTATTAATTTGCTTCTTTTTTTCATGTATTGTAGTGTAAATAATTTTTTGTTTGTTTTACTCTTTATTTTGTTAAGTTCAAGTTATATGTTAAGAGCTTAAAATATTTAAAGCTTTATAAAGTAGACAATCACTGTATTTTATTGTAAATATGTAATTCATGTTAGATGTAAGAGTGGTCCTTGAGACCAAACCTTGCGTGATCAATAAATAAATCGTTATTCATTCATTCTGTCTGTCTGTCTGTCTCCTTTCTCTTTGTCTTCCATATCTTGTCTGAGTGCTGTTTTTACAACTTGGCACTAAATATTCTTAATGATCCCTTTTTTGTTTAATTTTCATTGTAGAGTATTTTTATTTTGTATCTATTTTTTGTAAATAGACATCTTTGTATATTAGAGTCTTGTTATCCGTTGTCTACTTACTGGATACATAATGGAAAAAAGGGAGCTATCACTTTGATCGCCAGTGATGGGATGATGTCCGCAAGTAGAATTGCGCCTGTAGAAATAGTGTTACAATTTCTCTCTGGGGTTGTCGGTGATTCCTGAAAAGGCAAGAAACAAATATTAGCAATTTGTTAAGTAGTAATTTTTATGCCATTATACTTACTGTTTCATTTCCGAAATTCCTTTTTATTATGTCACTTGCGGCACTGAGCATCACAACATAGCCATAGTTATTGCACAAGCCCAGGATCCAAAATGCAACGAGTGATTTGATCCTGACTGGATGGTTTTTATTCCTGGCAATGGGCAATTGCTGATCCTCGGTGACAGCATCATGCTGGTAAGACGTCATCGAAACCTTTATCTTTGTGCCACAACTATCAAAAGATAATTATAAAAATAAGAAATTAATGGAAATCATTATGTCAACTATGATTCATTAGTTACTTTTTGGCGGGGAATACATTTGGAAATCTATAATTTACTACAAAGCAAATGATAATTAAAACAAGTACACGATAAAAGAACAGAAGAAAAATTAGAAAAAAGGCTATTAATTGGAAGGACCATTTTTAACAGTAGTTTTATTTACGTTTAAGAATAAATTTCATGTACTCACAGGCGTATATAAAATTAAAATAGAGGTAGTAAGCACAATGCGACAGGATCTTCTATTTAAAGCTTCAGGTGAAGTAAATTTCTTAAGGAACAAAACCAGTTAATGATTTTTTTCTTTCAAGTCCTTGATTTCCGGGTATAATTCCTTTCCTGCCAAAAATAAAAATTCAAAGTTATATTTTATTAAACGATTTAAATTCTAACAAGTTATATTTAAAAAGCTTTGGTTCTTTTACACACACACACACACAAAAAATGTGTTCCGAAGTTAAAATACTTTATAAAAATGGTTAAAAGCCACGTCTCTCTATTGCCGGTAGTGCTGGCCAGATTTGTAGATGATTGTTATGTAATGCATACTACCATGGTTTTGATCAATATATAAAAGGCCTTGACACTTTTTGGCATAATGGTATGGTTAGTACGCTGATAAAACTTCCCTCCCTAAATAATAAAAATAGTCTGGATCACAGTATGATCAGGTCTTGATGAAAAAGCAAATTCAATTATTCCAAGCTTGCGACTAATTTTAATATCATCAGGACTGAGAATGCTCTTGGCAATGTTGAGACTGATTGTCAATGAAAAACTCAATTATGTCAATCTGTAGACATATTTAAAATTGTTTTGCCCTGATGACGACCTTAAAATAGGTCGAAAGCTTCGCACTAACAACTTAATTTGATTTTTCATCAGGACCATTTCATGATCCAGAGTATTCACAAGTAAAAAAATGGTTGATACATCTAACTTAAAACAATAAAAATAGTTCAGCCATATCTCTTATCCAAACAATTCTGACTTTCCTTTTCAATTATCTTTTTGCCAACAGAGCTATATAGTTGCTGCTGTCCCCCAAGGCTTGGACCCATCCTGTTCCTTGTATATTTTAACAAAATACCTCGACAAAATAATTTAAAACGGCTCTTTATGATGTAGATATCGCTCTCTACTCTTTCTTTTGATGGATAAATAAATATCGAGCAGGTTAAACAATGTGCTTCAGAAAATTTCTGCAACCATTGGAAAATTATTAATTGTAATAAAACGGAGGAAATAGTTTTTAGCAAACATAGACTGTTGTCTCTAGGAGAGAGATAGGAAACAAAGAGACAGAAGAGAAACAAAATCATAGGAGACAGTGAGAGAAAGTGACAGAAAAAGGAGACAAAGTGACCGAGAGACAGGAGAAAAAATGACAGCAACAAAGAGATGAGACAGGAAACAGAGAGACAAAAAAACAAAAAGAGAGACAAAGTGTCAGGAGATCAAGTGACAGAAAGACAGGAAACAAAGAGACATGAAACAAAGATATAGAAGGCAAAGGGAAAGAGAGACAAAGATACTGGAGACAGAGTTATGAAGAGACAGGAGACAAATTCAGTCGTATAAAGCCCTTGCTAAAAAGTCAAATTGAAAACCATTGGTACAGGGACCATGACACTGTATGCATCCTTTTTGAATGTCATCAGCTTAGCCAATGCTGTTTGAGAGGTAAAATGTCTTCTGAAGCCTGACTGCATAGGATTTCGTCGGCTACCATCTCAAGGAATTTGGTGATCTGGCTGTGAACTAAACACTCAAATGCCTTTGATGGAGAACAGATAATTGATATTTTACTGACTGGGAGATGGTCCTGACAAGGGCTGGTGTTGTTTTGTGGCATAGAAATGGTGGATATTGTCAGGACCGTGTGAGTGCCATTGGTGTAGGTACATGACCGAGAGAAACGTTGGCTGAGGTCCAGGGGCTGTGGATGTAGTGAGTCGGTTACTCTGCAGCGGCAGGTCTGGTGCAGCAGGTAACCAAGTGCATCAGTTGGCCAGTAGCCAAGTGCTGTGTTCAGAAGGCGAGGTTGAAGCTGAGGCTATGACTCTCAAAACTCAAGGTGTGCAGTGAGACCTTGTCAGGGAGAGGAGTGCCCCTGATTATGCATATATATATATATATAATGCAGGGTGGGCGACTAAGACCCGAGGGGTTAAATGCCTGGGTAGACTCGTACCCCATCCCTAAAAGATCCGGGACTCGGTCGGCTCACGTGTCCTGCATAAACCTCTTGGACTTGTTCACAAACCCCAAGATTTTGGACCATTTTATCTCGGGGAGTGATTTGGTGATGTCCTCTCCTTCAAAGATTTCAAATCTAGACCTAGCATACCTATCACATTCTGCGAGGTAGTGCTTTGCCGTTTCTTCTTTTATTTCGCAGAAGCGGCAAAAGGGATCTGGTAGGATACCCATTATGAAGAGGTGTCTTCTCAGTGGGCAATGGCTCGTCAGAATACCTATCAGCCTCTTAATTCCCTTCCTTGAGATAGAGAATAGCCATTTCGATTCAGCTGGTTTGATCACCTTAACCAACTCTTTCGATTGCCTGTGTCCGGGGGATAAAATCCACTTCCTAAGGAATTGTTTCATGCCCCAGTTATTGATACTCTCTTTTGCTGTGCTCTTGCACTCTCTTGCTGGGTAATACCGGTTGTGGCCCAACAAACACAGTATTAGAACCTTCTTTGGCTAGGCCATCCGCCTTTTCATTGCCCTGGTGTCCTTTATGTGCAGGTATCCAAATAAGGGTTACCTTGTTCTCAAACCTGAAAGAGATCCTATTGATAAGATCTATAGTTTCCTCCACCAGTCGTGATGTTGACAAATCTTTTTGTAATGCCCTAAGACTAGCCTGACTGTCAGAAAAGATTTTAATATCTTTTCCCTTAATTTTATTTTCCATCAGTGTTCTACAACACACATTGATGGCCCAGATTTCCGCCTGAAAAACGGAGGTGTTATTGCCAAGAGGGGAGATGCTGATTCCTAATTTTGGTAGGTAAATTTCTGCACCACTCCCTCTACCTTTGATAAGTGATCCATCTGTGTAGCAGTCTATGTTACGATGGTCATCATCCAGACTAAAATCATAATCACAAGGGGTGACTACCTGAAAGTGCTTTTTCCCCGAAGGGGTTTTAATCTTTTTATCACTAACGCTTAATAATTGACCGTTAACCTTACTCAATAGCTGAGAGATTTTCGAATGACCTATGTTAATGCACTTATGATTCCAGCTGCCCTCGCTAATTAGTCTGTAGCAGCTCTGACCTTAACCTCAATGTGAAGTGGTGTGGTATTGGTTATGATTTAAAGTGCTAGGGTGGGTGTAGTTGAAAATGCTCCTGTCATCATCAAACAACCTAGTCTTTGAAATGACCTTAATTTATTACTATTCCCTTTATTTTTTAGACCTTTCCACCACACTAAAGCTGCAAAAAAGAATCTAGGTAGAATAATTGCAGTATATAGCCATTTGGCTACCCATGGTTTGATGCCCCATGTTTTACCGACAATTCTCCTACATTGTACCATTGATATGGCGCCTTTCCTGTATATGTTATTAATATGACCTTTCCAATCAAGTTTCCTGTCAAGTGTCACACCAAGGAATTTGATTGAATACAGTAACTTTAATTCTATGCCCTGACATTTAGGGTTTTTAAAATTACCTAAAGTTCTTCTCCAGCTAAACATTATCAATTCTAGTTTAGCAGGATTAATTGATAAACCTTTGTCACAACACCACCCACAAAGCAATCCAATGGCGTTTTCCATCAGTAGTGAAAGAGTCAGGGGATCCCTACCTGTGAGCATTATGGTACCACATCTGAAAATAATTGACTGTAGAAGCCTGAATTATTCAGAAGTTCTATTAAGCTGTTTACTGTAATTAGCCATAAAAGAGGTGACAAACAGCCTCCCTGAGGACAGCCTCCTTTTACATTAATTCTAAGAGTGCTACCACCTAAGCATATATTGACCATCCTCCCTTCCAAGTAGGTCTTCACCCATCTAGTAAGGTGATGGTCGACATTGTAATTATCTAATGCTGATATAATGCAAGAAGTATCAGCATTATCAAACGCCCCTTGGATATCGAAGAAGCCCTAGTGTATATTCATTATTAAATAATGATTTCTCGATCCTGCCTATTAGTGAGTGCAAGGCAGTTTCCACTGATTTTCCTGGTAAGTAGGCATGTTGATTGGGATGTATCATTGTATTAATTCCACAATCATGCCTAATATATCTATCTAAAATTTTCTCTATAATTTTTATGAAAATAGAAGATATACTTATAGGTCTATACGATTTAGGTAATTGATATGAGACCTTACCTGGTCCTGATTATGCATACAAAATGGCAGAGTAGAGGGTGAGACCATTCCACAACTGGTGGTGACATATAGCGGGTAACTGCAGATGGCCACCACAGTTCCTGTAATCGGGGAGGACGGGTTTCTAACTTTATTATTCGCCCAATTATGATAGCAATTTTTCACTTATAGGACAAAATCTAATTAGAAAAACGCTACCGATTTATTTTACAACCCAACTGTATTAAAGAAAAACTACATTTGATTATTTTTCTTTTTCTTATGGTCAGCAGAAAAACGAAAAATAAAATTTTCTGGCGACTTTAATGCTAATTTATCAGCTTGTTTTATATTTAATTTTGAGATTTGTTAGCAAGGAAATCTGACATTTTCAACCTAAGCGAGACCACGAGAGAAATCCTTAATTATATCATTTTATCTTTTAGGATTTGGCTAATCAGTCTTTTTAATCTCCTCCTTTGTAACGTTTGCAGATAATATTAAAGCGTCATATCAGTGGTTTTCCATACATGAATGTTATCATCAAATCGTCAGCGTTATATTTTATCAAGAGTAGATAGTTCTTGTTTTCAATGATAAACAGGTCGGAAATTAGTTTCAAATTATCAATGAATCGAATCATTTTGAGGAAAAAAGCCTCCCATTGAAAATTTCTTCTCGTTTTTATTTATCGATCTTATTTTTCTGGTCTATTTTCACAGTTTCTTTGCGGGTAATTAAGTTAAAATTAATTGGATATTTTTTGTCCTTGAGATTAATTTCTGATGTTATTTAAATTGTTGACTTTCTACATTCCACTTTTCATTTTAATTAAGCACAATAGACATTTTTGTATATTAAATCAATATCCAAACTGTCGTTGAGTTGAGTTTTTGCATAGTTACACATAAAAAAAAAGAAAAAAGAATTTCAATGGGAAGATGAAAGGGAACAATTTTAAAAAACTCTTATGCTAAACAAATTAACTCCTTTTAAAGT